TGTGAATAAATTTGATAATATCAATTGCCAGATGCCATTTTTAAGACTGTTCCGCACATGCAAACAGGTTTGAATAATTAAGTGTGTCAGACGGCAGTTTGCATGGATGGAGTTTCAGGTAACTTCATGAGGTGAAAGGGACTTTGGCTATTCCACAAAATCATAGATCAACATCATTGACTGTTGATTTATCGGGCCTGCTGACATCTGCTGACAGATGTCGCAGATGAAGTTGCAAATTCATTGTCATTGTCTTGCGATCTAGGGTTTCCAGTTGTCAGTTTTCAGTTTCCAGCAATTATGCTGAACAAAACTGCGATTGCAGAGAGACTATTAGCATCGGGGTTGCCAGTCGCCCGGTGAAGGGTGTTCGAACATAATAACAATTGGAAATTAATCAGCAACTGCAACTGCAACTGCACCACTGCCACTAGTGCCACTACCAGCGGACAAAAGCGTTCCAAGCCACGGAGCAACGTGCCCACTTACCAGTTATTTTGCATTGAATTACCAAATAACTAAATATTATTGCTTGATTACAGACAGGAGGGTCGGGTGCTGCTATGCTGATTTTAATCGGTATCTCATTACGGCCAGTTTTATATGCCGCATCTAGGCGGCAGTTGTATCTGAGTACATCAGGTGCACTTGGGTACAATTCATTTTTAAGCAGCTTTACTTTACCATAATGTCTGTTCTTATCTAACATTTCACTTGAAGTTGCTTTACTATAAACTTTTTATTTTCTAAAAGGTCTTGCAAATACAAAAATTTTCCCATTTCGAAGATAATTGATTTACAACATCAGGATATTTGCTTGTAAAACCATAAAGAAACCACAAACAGAATTTTTAAAACTTAAATAACGTAATTATACATTTCTTAATTCAAAAATAACAAATTAAATTGTCCAAAAATAATACACTAACCAATATTTGTGTACAAATTTGGTTCACTTTAAGGAAACGAGGATAAAGTGTGTGACACTTTTAAATAATGACGAATTAACAAAAAAAAAATGTAATTTCATACTGTAATGGAATTTTCGAAAAATGGTTTTAACGAGATTTTTCAGCTTAAACGTGACTCAAAACTATTTGCTAATATTTTGAACTTAAATAGGGCAACATTAAAAATATGGCACCTTAAACACAATTGGTTTTGACTCTCCACCGATGTACGAATGTTTTTTTTATACCCTTGCAGAGGGTATTATAATTTTGGTCAAAAGTGTGCAACGCAGTGAAGGAGACATCTCCGACCCTATAAAGTATATATATTCTTGATCAGGATCACCTCCTGAGTTGATATAGCCATGTCCGTCTGTCCGTCTGTCCGTCTGTCCGTCTGTCCGTCTGTCCGTCTGTCTGTCCGTCTGTCTGTTTCTACGCGAACTAGTCTCTCAGTTTTAAAGCTATCGGATTGAAACTTTGCACACACCCTTCTTTCCTTTGCACGCAGTATATAAGTCGGAACGGCCGGGATCGGCCGACTATATCCTATAGCTGCCATATAACTGATTGATCGGAAATGCCATAACTTTCGTGTTTGTAAAGTTAGGAAGTTGGGATTTTCTATGGGTTTTATATTTGGCCAATCAATCCGACCTACCAAATTTCATAAGGATCGGCCGACTATATCCTATAGCTGCCATATAACTGATTGATCGGAAATGCCATAACTTTGGTGTTTGTAAAGTTAGAAAGTTGGGATTTTCTATGGATTTTATTTTTGGCCAATCAATCCGACCTACCAAATTTCATAAGGATCGGCCGACTATATCCTATAGCTGCCATATAACTGATTGATCGGAAATGCCATAACTTTGGTGTTTGTAAAGTTAGGAAGTTGGGATTTTCTATGGATTTTATTTTTGGCCAATCAATCCGACCTACCAAATTTCATAAGGATCGGCCGACTATATCCTATAGCTGCCATATAACTGAACGATTGGAAATGCCATAACTTTGTTGTTGTTAAAGTTAGGAAGTTCGGATTTTTTATGAGTATTAAGAATGCATCATATGAATAATTTTGGAGAATATAATTTACAGAGTATTCTGCAAGGGTATATCAACTTCGGCTCCGCCCGAAGTTAGCTTTCCTTTCTTGTTATCACCTGAACTCTGTCATCCAGATAGAAATAAGTACCTTTGCCACCGCTGAGGTACCTTTAAGCTGCAGTCGAGCAAAGACCATCGTAGCATCTACAGTCAATGAATGCGCTTTTTGCGGTCTCCGCGGCATTGTGGCTTTGTGAGTCAAGGCCACACAGGCGTTCAGTGAACCCCATTCGCCCAACGAAACCCATCATCAGCAGCGTTATTAAAGGTGGCAGCAAGTGCGATAATTATGCCCACCGCTCAAGTGCCGGCGATATTTGCAAACTGCAGACTAGAAAAAAAAACAAACCCTCAAACGTACTAATTGAATGGGAAATTTTTAGCAACGAGAGACCGAAATTTTCTGGATTGACAATGTTTTTTTGTACCCCACATGTCTTGAACATCTGTAAAGCCGTGGATAGAGAAATATATATATATATATTTGAACTTTAATATAATCTATCAACAGACAAATCGAACAATTATTTAATTAATAGTTAAAAAATTTAGTTTAACATGGAATGTAACGTCCAAGCTTGCAGATAAATGTATCTGTCCGACAGATGGCGACACTTATTTTTCGTTTGCCGCGCCAACAAAACTGCAAGTGATGCCATCTGTTGTGGACATTTTGAAACTGTTTAGCAGAGTGAAAGGTATGTGATAGTCGTCGAAGTCGACTATATTGTTCCTCCTTGTTGAACTGAAATGCCTCGCTAGCTTTTAAAGGTTTATTGCTTATATATGTATTTAAATTAAAGTTGTTAAAAATATACTGATATAACTTTAACGCGAAGCATGGTATAATCTGTTCAGAAGCATCATCTTCTTTATATATTGAGATAACAGCGAGCTTTCCATCATCTGCTTAATCGCTGTCTCAATCCCTTGTTCTTAAGTACATGCATTGTTCGAATCCAAGTCAGTTCTATTAAAAACCTTTAGCTGCAAAACGTTGCGTTGTTCTTTGCCCCGAGATAGTCCACAATATCTCCTGGTTATATTCAACAGAAGGGACATCAAGTCGTTGCCTCAAGAAATATATATAAATTATATATACACAAGCTACTTTTTGAATCGCAGTAAGAAAAACAAACAAAGCAGTTCAGCATGTATGATCTAACTTTCGAAATATTTGTTTTCTGTCTTCAACTCGACTTCATTCTTTTAAATATTGCTTTGTGAAAATGCTTGTGTTTTCACTGCATGATAAATCGAAATTTATTGGTAACAGTTAATAATGTGCGCTCGACAGCTCAGTGTAATTGGTTGTTTGGAAGGGCAGATATTTGTTGAAACCACAAAACTAAACGAAAAGCGGAATAACCCAGACAATGATCATTTTCTTGAGTAGAATTTAAATTTAATTTGTTTGTCTTGGACTTGATGAATAGGCTTACTTAAAATTCTTGCAAATTAAAGTTAATGACTTTGTAAATATTGGCTCAATAATGTTTAAATCAGTGTATTAAAATACTAATAATTAACTTAAGTTTATAATCTATTATGTCTTGCCCTTATACTGGCATGTACATTCAGTTAGTGATTGATCACTTATTCCCCATTTCACTTTGGAATTCCCCCAACAATATTTTAATTGAATTTCTGTCGTGACATATGTGTACTTTGGAGTGAAACTTTGTTGTATATTGTATTTAAGGTGCTTTGTTTTTATTTTTGATTTTGGTGAAAAGGGACTAAGATAAAAAATAATATAAGCTCTTGAAAATTATATTTTGATCAGCTAATTGGGGCATTCACAATTTAAACACATCTGTATAGGGACGTACATTTTTTGCAACTGACAACTAAATAAATATTGAATGTACCCACCAACAAAGTTTTTAATTGCAATTGAGGGGAGGTGCAAATAACGAAGCAATTGCAACCCAATTACCAGAAATTAAGAAAAATTCTAAAGTGCGCGGGTTATTATTGAATTTTGGCTCCTAAAATGTAATTCTTTATAACTTTTAAGAAACCATTTTAAGACATGCTATTATATTGTACATCTTTTAACAATGTATTGCCGATTACTAATGTATATTTAATCGTAGAAAAATGATTTTTTTCGAAATATCAACTTTAATTTTCAAACCAAATTTCAGGCTATTCAATAGTTTGTAATAACATAATAAAATAGTCGGGGAACTCTATTATAGTGTTCTATTATGTGTGGTTGTTTTAAAGTTTTATTCAAGTGCGGTCTTTGTATACAGTAAAATCGTTGGTCCTTTAAACTAAGTTTGTGCCTTTGTAATAACATTTTATGGTTGATGAAAAATATTATGAATGATATTTGTTTAGCAATACATTTCTATTAAAACAATTTTTGACATACATATTTTCGTACATAAGGTTCGATATATATGTATAAAACTTGAAAATTATCCGGTTTCAATAGAAAAAACCTGAGGCGCATAAAAAAAAGCCTAAAATACATTTTTGTTTACCTGTATTTTTTCAAAGATATTTTTTTAGACTAACGAACTGGTTTGAGAGGGGATTTTTTATTTATTTTTTTTTTTTTTTCCAATACCAGCTGTAGTACTTTTGAAAACAATATTTTTTGTATTACTTTTTGGACCATCAGTTGTGATAGCGCATTCGGGAAAAAAGGAGGAGAACTGGCGATGCCACCTGTGAGCCCACCTGTACGAGTATCTCCGCTTTCGTTTTCAGTGTTCGGTGTTCGGTGTTCAGTTCTGCGACGGCAGCGTTGCCCTCGGGCTGATCGTACCGCCCACACCGCCCACTCCGCCCCACCCCACCCACACACCCACCGCCGATGGAATCTGCGCCGGCAGCGACGGCGGCAGCGGCGTTTTACCGTGCGCCGGCGGCAACTGGCCAGCGGAACTCATCAAATTCAGTACGAAATATTTTAGTCGCCGAGTTCAGCTCAACGCCGATGGTTTAGACACTGAAAGCGCAGCTCGTTAAGCCGAAAGTAGCGTCTGAATAAACACAGAAGGCACTGTGTTTTTGTCACCGCCGTTGTCGTTGTACTTTTAATTCAATTCCCATTCCCATTCCGATTCCAATTCCCATTCCCAAAAGCAATCCAACTGCAGCTGCAGTCGCGTCAATGTAGGTAATCACCTCGCCAGCAAACAAAAACCAAAAAAAAAAAAAAAAAAAACGGAGAACAACCTGCGATTAAACAACAGAACAAACAAACCAACAAAATCGAAAGGAGCGTTTTCAGGTAAAGGTGCAAAATTGAAAGATACGAAAATTGTAAGGATCGCCAAAGATCTCGAAAAATTGGAAAAAATTGAAAAATCGAAAAACCGAAAAATTTAAATATCGGGCGGGGATTTCCGCAAGTGTAGTTACCGTTGCTCCAGCAATTGCTTACAGCATCTGAATATGTACATACATATTTATCCCCCATTTGTGTGTGCGTGTGTGTGTCTTGCTTTTTACTAATTTTATTAACGACATGTAAATTAAATCAAATCCGCTTGTTTGACCATCGCCATTCGCCCTCTCTTTTTTCTGTGATGTTCGCATCCCTTTCGCTTAGGGTTGTCGAAAATATCAAAAAGAGAACTGATTTATTTTCAATTTGCATATGCTATCACTTCATACTTTAAGTATTAAGATAACTAGATAAACGTTTTTGTATAATTTATCAGCAGATAAATTTAACAGCAAATATAATAATCTCTTATATTTACTGTTGCATTTAGCTGCTGATAAACGAAATTGGTTAAATTGTAATCTTCAATCTGCATTTTTTTAAGTGATATTTAGTGAAGCTGCAAATAATCATCAACCAAAAGCTATTTTCGTTTGTTAACATGGACCAATAATAATCTGTCTCTATTTTTGTTATAAAATATTGCTCAAAAAAACAACTTTTATTAATAGTGTTATAAAAGAGAAAATAATATGAATTTATATTATTGAAAATTTTGACAACCCTTCCATAAATTTGAATTTCGGTGAAAATCTCGTACCATTTGTCAAGCCCAATTCATTATAATTATGGCCTGAATAAACTTACGCAAATCGTATTTAATGTATTCTAAATTTTGTTTTTTTTTTGCAATTACGTGGCAGTTTCTGTATGTATTTTAAAATGAGATTCGTGCTTTTCACTATTGTTTGATTGCCCAAATTAGTGGTTCGTTTATCATTATTTTGATCGCCGACGAATAGAGATTCGTACCTGTTATTCGTAGAGTATATTCCACATGAGCAAAAGCTTAAAAGAGTGAGATAAAAAAGTTTTCGATTCTATAATGCGTTTATATTTTAAATGAGATTCTGTAAGAACCACTCAAAAAATGTGTATTTGATATTTCCCGCGCTTTAAAATTTAAAATGTTTTTTTTTAAGTATTTTATAAGAGTTTCAGAAAAAGTGGGTATCTCATAGTCGGCGCCCTTGACTATAGTTTTCTTTATTTATTTTTTGTCAAGTTTTGTTTTGCTAGTCTGTTTCCATTGCGGCGGCATCATCTGAGCTTCTGCTTTTTTCTCAGTTACCGGAATTTCCGCGATTTGCGAACAGGGTTAATCCCACTGAGAAAAAATAGTCTAATGTTCATAATCATAAATATTTAAAAAATCTGAATTATCATACGATTGTTCTCTGTGCACAAATATATGATTCCAGCTGGCGTTTGTCCGTGAGGTCTGGGGCTTATTTGAGTGTCTAAATATTTTTAGCGGCTAATTTTACCATTGAATTGTGCATAAATAAATCCGAGAAGAAAAGTTTTTCTTTTTTCGCCGGCTAATTGTATTTAATTATTTCCAATTTAGTGGCCCGACTAAAGCAGAACTTTGTTTGTGTCACAGGCAGACTTCGCAGTCGTATCTTTGTATCCGTATCCGTGTGGCGGCGTATCTGTGATGCCACACTCATATATCTAATTGTATCTGTCATAGACATGCAATTAATAACGTAAATGGGTAATTTGGAGCGCCATCGCTTGTTCGATTCGCCTGTGTGAAAAGTTTTGTCAAACCAGCCGGAAATGAGCAAAGCAACATTGAAAAACAGCACAAAAACAAAAATCAAACAAAGATTAGAAAAATAAATAATAACGTAGTGACTGGGGACAAATGATCGGCAAATATTTGGTAATAACTGTTGTAATTCCCTTGTCCCTGTTTTTGTTTCAAATCAAATCGCGGGAAGAGTCAATATTACTTGTGTGCCAGAAGAAATTGTCTAACATGTCAGCATGACATTTCGAATTTAAAACTGATAAACACAATATTCCCTCGTTCATGATAATTATAAGGTAGTAGCTTAATAATACGACTACCATCGATAATTGCCAGAAAGCGACCACTAATATTAAAATTCGGAGAAATTTCTAAGCAGACTCTGGGTCTGGCACTGTTTTCACTACACTCAGAAAAAAACAAAGTATTTCGTGGCATAGAAATTCTAAGCTCAAAAATTAAAAGAACTATTTCGAAAAACTAAAAATACTTAATTATATTATGGTTTAGTTACATTTTGTTATAACAATAAGCATGAATTGAATCATGAAACCAAATACTTAAAACATGAATATATTGTTCTTCGTTTAAGAAAAAAGAAAACTTAATTTGGGAACATCACACCTTTACTTAGAAACATTAGTTTTTGCTTTTTAAAATTCACATTATTTAAATGAACACATTTAAAACCATAATATTTAATACGGTTTATATTCATACGAAATATTATTTTTCATAGTTAAAAATTATTTCGTGAAAAATGTCTTACTAATATTTATTATTTCTGAGGAATAAGAAAATAAATTAATAATAAAACATTATTTTTTAGTTTTAAGTTGTATTTTTGTAGATCGCAATGGTGTTTTTTTAACATTTTATTCCAATGATTTGTTTTTTGATTGAATACATTATTATTGGCTTTTGAATTGATTGTAAGACTTAAAGTTGAATCAAGACTCCAGACTGGCTAAATTAAATGATAAAATTGAAAGGAAAACCCTTGTAGCCATAATGGATTTGATTTTTTCTCAGTGCACCACTCCTAGTTGCACTTGCAGACCAACTGCAAAAATGCTTCCTGAATTTGCACATGTCCATAGCCATCGATTAGGCTAGTTAGTATGCCACTCAGTCGCTGCACGAATAGGCCGTCTTCCAGAGACGGCGATCGGTGGCCAAATCGAGGGCTAACACTTGTTGACGTGACCGATCGACGGTCCGATGACCTCGATACCGCCCTCTTCCTGCTCCACGCCCCCCAATTGATCGGGTTCAACGCACGTCTGAGTGGGTGGCATTGGGTGACCGTAGAAACTGCAGAGCTTGCAACAATGTAAACTAGCTCAAGATCTCCCCAAAACTCAACGCTATTCTTCCAAATTTACGAGACATACGCTAAGATAAATTAAGTAAATTGGTAAAAGTGTCACGTTTGAAACATTTTGCATGCGCAAAATAAGTGCTAACAAAAAATAGTACTACAAATTTATATTTGTCTATTAAACGAATTTTCAAATCGCTTTCAATGTCAAACCTTTTCTAAATCAAATGTTTGCATGCCTATTTAATTTTTATAAAGAGTTCTAGCTAACCGATTTAGGTCAACTAGGCCTCATTTCACTTGGAATAACTAGAATTAACTTTTCCATACACATCCATGTGATCATTTTAATCTAAACAATGCATAAGACAATGAACTACTGGTGGAGCTGGCAATGAGAGAACCAATCTCTATCACTGCGTAGCTTCTATGTTTAGCCCGACTTTCTTTCTGAACTTTGGTTTTTGATGTTTGTGGGCTCCACTGTACAGCAGATATCCGATTCTAAGTGTGGACTTTGTTCGCATTGGCTTTCTATGTGCTTTTAGACAGTCGATCCGACTGCGTCATCACCTGGCGGAAGTTGGAGATTAAAACGGTCAGTGCTGCACTTTATGACTAAGATGTTTGGGTGTGTTCGTGTGTGATCACCTGTCAAGGTCAATTAGCTTTGCCTAATTTTCGCTAATTTTAACTTTTAACCCAATCCCAGAGTCGCGTTCGTGAAATTAAAGCGTTTGTTAATGGGGGAAACCACCGAAAGAGGGATCCATTCCTCAATATAATCAAAACAGAGTGCCAACTATAATTGGCAAAACATTCTTAAGACGCAAACATAAAACTGCCAGAAAAACATTGATTAATTCAAATTCACTTTAAAAACAAGTTTTATTTAGCATTTTATGATAAGCATAAACACGTTTTTTCAACTGAAATTTCTTCTCATTTTAATATCGGAAGTATTATTACTGAAGATTTATTTATTTATGCTTAAGACATTTAAAAACTATATCAAAACCTGTACAAGATTTTGATTAAAATATTTTTACTATCTTTGATTTTCAGTTAAATATTTTAATAATTTGTTTCATTGATTTTCCTTTTGTATATAAAAAAATATTTTAATTTATTATAAGCTGAATATTTTGATTTTAAAGATTTTAGATTATGGTAGAATCCATAATAGTGGTTTTTAATTATATCTTACTGAAGTAGAATCCATAATAGTGGTTTTTAATTATATCTTACTGAAGTAGCTTACACCGTTTTTTATTTTATTAAACTATAGTTAACTAGCTTTGTTAACTATCTTTGATTTTCCACCTGCAGTGTGTTCTTGTATGTACTTTGCTTAAATCATTATGGTTTTCCTTACTTTGGGTAATCGCCTTGAGCAATTCCACCGCGATAAGGTGAATGCGCTTGGCAGTTGATGGGTATGGGTTTTTTTTTTGGCGAAGTTGAGCTGGCGGGGAAACGGGGACGACTTATAGACATATAGACAGGCATATGCCTTAAGCCAAAATGTGGCAACAATTGTGTAAACACTTTTAACGAACAAAAACAAATGCACTAAGCAAAACAATTAAAAGCTACAACAAAATAGCAACAAAAAAAGAGGGAATTGCAAAATGGAAACGTTGTCGCTCTCTGGGATTTCCCAATCCCAAGATAAAGCTGCAGACCCGGTGATTCCGTTCCTAGAGATCGGAGTTCCACTAATAACATTTTGCTATAGAATTGCCATGACACGCAGAATAATTTTTTTTTGTTTGTTTTCAACGAGCTTCATTAGCGGCCTACAAGCGGATGCTGTGGGCCATCAAAGGGAGTTGGTTTTAAAAATTCAAAATCAATATTAAAAAAAAAGAAAAGAAGCACCTGCTCGCGGTTTTTGATAACGGACCCCCTGCGATAATGATAACACTTCAATGCCAGAGAGATCGCATGCTGAGGCTCCACTTTGATTGACTTTTCCAATTGCCGTCAGTCAAAAATCACAGTGAACGCTAATGAAGGGTAACCGAAATACGAATCGAAATGGAGGAAGTATATAAAAGTCTGCCAAGTTCGTTGAATTTAAGACTTTTAATTATCTAAATAAACTATTTCAGACATTTATTCATTCAGTTAACAAAGCGCCCAAGGCGAAATTCCCTAGAATAATTCGAGCAATTAAATTTTAAGATGACAATATAATTTCGTAAATGTATAATGAAAGAGCGCAATTAAGACAAGGGAGTCATTATGATAATAAAACCAGATAAAATATTAGCAGTGCAAAGAATCTTGTTAATGGGCTTTTAATTAAATTTATCAATTCCGTGTTTATGACAATTCAATTTAGATAACAAAAGCAAATTAACTTCGAGGAAGCGAGAATATATTACCCTCGAAAAATGATTAGAACTTAACTCTATTTAATAGGTTAGTTGCTTTCATTAAAAACCATTTAATTTAAGACGAATTTAGAATCCGGCTTAAAAAAGGTATAGAAGAAATGATTATATATTTACTAATGCATTTAATGATTAATTTTTGCCAACATATTCCAGCGGTCAAAGCCAATAAAGAGCATATATAATTCTTTAGAGAATCGGAAAAAACTTGTTACATGACTTTACATGAACACAATATGCCCTTTTCTTCTAGGAATACCGCATAAAGATAAGGTGAATTATGGCTTTTATGGAATACTTTAGTATTGTTAAAATGTTAGTACTTTATAGTTGCAAATCTGGCCGGTTCTGTTATTTATTCCAACATTTTAAAAGCAATAGAACATTTTATAGACAATTGGTGTAAGGAGTATAAAAGAAATAAATAGCTCCTGTTGAAACAGTCGCTCTAAATTGGAATGATTTCATTTCGCTTTGAAGTAATTGTGTTTACCGTGCCTAGTTTTTCTATACGTTTTGCAGTCTTATACAAATTCTATGAACTATAAAATTATACAATTATGTATTTTAAATATTTATGGCAATTAATTAAGTGATAATGGGAAAATGTTTAGTCGACAAATGAAAGTTTCCACTGAAGAGGCACTCACATATTGTTTGATCTTTGTGATTAGCTTTTCTAATCAGTTGATTTTTGCGACTTGCAGATTCCCTCCAGCCCGCCAGCAGGATGTCACCCAAGGACGGCAGCCTGGACGATGCCAAATACGCCAAATACACGGTGAATCATGCGCCACCCCCTCCTCCGCCTCCTTCGACGACGACCACGACGATGGCCCTGTCCACCGGATTGGATAAGTCGACGGCCAAGGAGAAGGAGAGCGCCACAATGACCCCGCCCCCGAAACGCACCTGGCGGGAGAAGATCCGGCTGGTGGCCAACAACGTCACCGTGGAACCCATCCTGGCCGCCTACATCATGCCCAGCGTGCTCTCGAACCTGGCCACCCAGAATCTCAACCTGGAGAAGGCCTGTCGCGTGAACATGGCCTACGGAGATGAGGTGTGCGATGCCCTAACCCGCCGCCAGACAGCCAACTACACACTGTGAGTCGCATGAGTCGCAAAAAAATCATACTTAAGTTACCATAAACCTGAGAAATATACTTAGGGAATTTTTAGCAATTTAAAATCCTTTAAAAATATGCCTGAAGTTATGCAGTGAATTTTGTTTATTCCAAGGCGAGAAGTGCACTTTTTAAAGTATGCTTTTAGGCACCTTTTTAAATGATCAAAAACAAGAAAGGCAAGCTAACTTCGGGCGGACCCGAAGTTGATATACCCTTGCAGAATACTCTGTAAATTATATTCTCCAAAATTATTCATATAATGCATTCTTAATACTCATAAAAAATCCCAACTTCCTAACTTTACAAACACGAAAGTTATGGCATTTCCGATCAATCAGTTATATGGCAGCTATAGGATATAGTCGGCCGATCCTTTTGAAATTTGGTAGGTCGGACTGATTGGCCAAATATAAAATCCATAGAAAATCCCAACTTCCTAACTTAACAAACACCAAAGTTATGGCATTTCAGATCAATCAGTTATATGGCGGCTATAGGATATAGTCGGCCGATCCTTATGAAATTTGGTAGGTCGGATTGATTGACCAAATATAAAACCGATAGAAAATCCCAACTTCCTAACTTAACAAACACCAAAGTTATGGCATTTCAGATCAATCAGTTATATGGCGGCTATAGGATATAGTCGGCCGATCCTTATGAAATTTGGTAGGTCGGATTGATTGACCAAATATAAAACCGATAGAAAATCCCAACTTCCTAACTTTACAAACACCAAAGTTATGGCATTTCCGATCAATCAGTTATATGGCAGCTATAAGATATAGTCGGCCGATCCTTATGAAATTTGGTAGGTCGGATTGATTGGCCAAATATAAAGCCCATAGAAAATTCCAACTACCTAACTTTACAAACACCAAAGTTATGGCATTTCCGATCAATCAGTTATATGGCAGCTATAGGATATAGTCGGCCGATCCCGGCCGTTCCGACTTATATACTGCGTGCAAAGGAAAGAAGGCTGTGTGCAAAGTTTCAACTCGATAGCTTTAAAACTGAGAGACTAGTTTGCGTAGAAACAGACAGACGGACAGACGGACATGGCTATATCAACTCAGGAGGTGATCCTGATCAAGAATATATATACTTTATAGGGTCGGAGATGTCTCCTTCACTGCGTTGCACACTTTTGACCAAAATTATAATACCCTCTGCAAGGGTATAAAAATCATTATGGTTTGAATAGCCAAATAACATATTTCGTTTTTATTAAAAGTAATGATTGAACGGAATTAATTATTTTTTAAAATGGTAAAAAAATTAGATTTACGAAAAACAAAGCAACTATTTCTTAAAGATGTCATAGAGAAATCAGAGCAAAAGGCAAATAGATGGACTTATACATATTCATATTCCATAAGGACTGGTAAACTAGAAGCAGGCCTTAAGTTTAAGTTGCAAAATTTCGAATTCAAGACCTGATGTAGTTAAAGCTAACTTAACATTTAAAGAAAAATTTAATCTCCCTCATCGTTTCCAATTAAATATGTATTTAGAGTAAAATATACAAATTTGAGGACGAAAGCTTAATTTATTTATTTACAAACTGTAAGCTTTAAGTTATCAATTAAAGTTACAGCGGGGTTTTGCGGCCATAGCTACTATGGCATTAGGCCCAATAATAGTTTAATATATAAAATATTATATTTTAATATTTTGTAATATTAAGATATATGTTGTAAATTATTTTGTTCCTTGTTCCAGGGAGGAGGAGACGGTGCAGCAGATGGTGGCGCGGATGGCCGCCTGGAAGACGGTGATCCAGTCCCTGTTCCCCTGCCTGCTGATCCTGTTCTGGGGCTCGTGGAGCGACCGCCACCGCCGGCGGAAGCCGTGCATCCTGATCCCGGTGGTGGGCGAGTTCCTGGGCGTGGTGGGCCTCATGCTGTGCGTCTACTTCGAGAACGCCCCCATGGAGGCGGCCGCCCTCACGGAGGCCATCTTCCCCTCCCTCAGCGGCGGCTGGTTCACCATGCTGATGGGCGTCTTCAGCTACATCGCGGACATCACCACCGAGGAGGACCGCACCCTGAGGATCGGCATCCTCAACGTCTGCTTCTCGGTGGGCGTGCCCATCGGAATGGCCTTCAGCGGAGTCCTGCTCAAGTGAGTCCTCTTTAAATAGGAAACAAATATTCATACAAAGCTCCCAAAAAAATCGTAATTTGCAGGGACCATAAATAATCTTAATTTGAGAATTTTATTTTTAAATTAATTCTGTCTTTTACATTAAATTAAGTAAATATAGCTTTAATTTCTTGTCCAGAAAAGGAGAAAGAAAACAAATGGAAAAATAATAGTGTTAAACTCCCAGTAGTCTTTTGAAAATAAAACTCTTAAATAATGATTATTTTTGGTCTTTGCTAATTGAGATTTTTGTTTTTCAAAAGGTCTACCTGCCATTTTCATTTAAAAAGTCACAAATAAAACTCTTATTACTATAGCTCACAAAGTTTATAAAATTAGCCAAGTTAGAAGCAAAGTAAACAAAATATACTCCATAGAAAAACGAGCCATTTGTAAGATAGGGGTATTAAATAAAAAACTATCTTTGAGAAATCAACTAACCTGCAGTTTATTTTCGCTTGCAGGCAAATTGGATTCTACGGCGTTTTCTCGATCTCGGCGGCCTTCTACGTGATCGCGTTCGTCTACGGGTTCTTCTTCCTGGAGGAGCCGGTGGCCCGGCCGGAGAAGAGCGGGGAGCAGAAGAGCCTGCTGGCGGACTTCTTCGACAAGGAGCACGTGGTGCAGACGTTCCGGGTGGCCTTCAAGAAGGGCGAGAACCAGCGCCGCAAGCGGGTCATCCTGCTGATGATCGTGGTGATGGTGATCATTGGTCCGCTGCACGGCGAGATGGCGGTGACGTACCTGTTCACCCGATTCCGCTTCAACTGGTCGGAGGTGGAGTTCAGCTTCTTCTCCACCTACGCCATGTTCACCGGCCTGATCGGCGTGATCTTCTGCGTGGGCGTGCTCTCGCACAAGCTGAACATCGACGATGCCTTGGTGGGTGTCCTGTCCAGCACCTCGAAGATCCTGTCGTCCTTCGTCTACGCCTTTGCCACGCTTCCGTGGCACATGTACTTGGGCGGCCTGGTGGAGATCTTCAATGGCACCGCCTTCATTGCAATGCGATCGATTGCCACCAAGCTGGTGTCCAAGGACGAACTGGGCAAGGTCAACTCGCTGTTCGGGGTGGCGGAGGCCCTGATGCCCATGGTATTTGCGCCCATGTATACGACCTTGTATGCCGCCACGCTGCGGGTCCTTCCAGGAGCCTTCTTCCTCCTCGGCGGCGGTCTCACCCTGTTCTCTGTGTTCATTTTCCTGTAAGTCCTGTGACTTTGTCTAACCCCCCAAAATTAAGTAATAATCCAAATGAAATCTTGTGTCGCCCAGGTGGATGTACCGCTTCCAGGTGCGACAACGACAAAAACTGGCCTCTCCGGATGCGGAACGCGCCTCTGTGAAGGATCCCAATGGCAATATCAACGCCATCGAGGCTCTGGTTTTGGCCAGCGAGGCCAAGGGCCAGATGAACGGGATCGTGGCCAATGTGATACACGAGTCCTTGGAGCACGCCGATCCTCCCGCAGCCACAAACACCGCCGTGACCTCTGTGACCCCTGTGACCTTGCGACCCGACGAACGGGGCATTGAGAACCCCGCCTTCGTTCAGGAGGAGGTCAAGGTCAAGGTCAAGGATTGTTAGGCGAGAGATGAGAACGGGCTCCCGATCCCCTCCTCATGTACATACTCACATTCCGCTGAGCAAGTTTTTAGGGGTCAGGAGTAGGTCAAACGGTAAAGCGATTCGAGCCGGAATCGAAATGAAACTCTTTTTCTCGGGCCTCGAATAACATGGGACTTCTAACGTATGAAAATCGATTCACAATCCCCACCAATCTTTTTCCGAAAAGTAGTTGACGGTATTTTCAAAAGAAATGAAACAGGCAATTTTTTTGAGAAAAACGCAGTGATTTTGACCAACTATCTATAGGGAAAAATACATAAACAATGTCGACATATTTGAACTCAATTCATTAAAAGTTGAAATCTTAATTAGTATTGATAAATTATACTAGTTTGCAAACTGAATTGTTTTGGTGTTCCAAGGACTAAAACCTTCTGCACAATTAAAGTTATTCAGTTAAAACTACATTGATTCGACAAACATATTCCAGATGATATAGGGTATAGCTTAATTTTCATAATTGGTATACCCAAATAAACTAAGATGAGTCTCTGCCAAGGATGTTTTAATCGAACGAGATTTCCCGCTTTATCCTCGAACCTACAGTCCTATTCCTATTCACCTAACCAATGTGTACAATTACAAATATTATTTTTTTTATTTAGCAGTAAGTCTCTAAGTGTATTTTCGTTTTTCGTTGTAATTATCTTATCTTACTCCGATTTGTTATTTTTATAATTTCTTTTTTTGCATAGCTGTAAGGAGTATTAAGAAGAATTTAATAAATGTAACATTGTCCGAAACTTGTGACTGAATTTTAGCAGGGGTCGCGAGGGGTGGTCATAGTTTCGAGGGCGTGACATGGCAATCGACTATTACACTAGCTAACAAAATAAATGGTACTTACTGGCATAGTAAGTGGAATTTTAAAATAGTTCGTTTGCAGATACAATTCAGTGCTATTTAAGTTTTTGTTTTTTTTTATCACCAAAGACATCGAAAATTTTGAAAGTTGTCAAAATAACCTGGAAATATGGCCTAAAATTAATAGCATAATTATTTTCTTTATTTTTCATATTCACCTAAAGGAAATTATAATAATGACTTGCAAAGAGTAAAAAAAAAAATTAAAAGATAAATAAACCTTTTATCAAATTTTGAAAAAAACGTTTTATTATTTGCCAACGATAAAAAACTGTACAAACGAATAATAAATTGCTGGAAGAAATACTTTTTAGGTGGCTTCTTAATTAGTGAAACATCGATGTTGGTAAAGAAACATTGTTAGTCGTATTGTTTTCCAAACATCGATAGTATTCTGGATTGCACTTGTAAAAATAAAACTTTATACTTATATTACCGATTGGGTCTGATGATTTCTAGGTGACTCTTAAACGAAACGTATGTATCACAAAGTTCTCAATCACTAAACTCAACTATACCAAAAATTCAACATTTTGTTGTGTTGACCAGTGTTTTTGGACACAGTAATCAGTGTCGCTGGCAAACAATTACACACACAAATGAACTAGTTGGCTTGGGTTGGAGTGGGCTGTAAATGGAGTCCTGGCCGCGAGCCTATCGCTCTTTTCCTGCACGTAAACAGGATGTGAGGATGCCAGGATATCAGGAGGAATCGGGAACGGACAGCGGACAACGGACATCGGACAACGGGAAACGGGGAATATCGGACTGCGGACACGGGGCACTGAACAATTGGTTTGCTCATGTCGCTGATAATTGTCGATTACGTTGCACAAAACGGATGCGTTTTGTATTTTGCCCCTTGTTGCAGCCATTGTTGCTCTTTTTGCGGTGCCCCATGCAAAGGTTGCGAGTGCATTAACTGTGTGATAAGTCTGGAAACTCGTGTGCCCTATCGCGGAATTGGCCACCACAAAATTATTGTGAAAAGCAAATACAGGAAATTCCGTCAACCCGAAAACGAGTTTACTAGTGCTCAAAAAAGATGGGTACACTTTTAGGTACGTATCTAACTCAAAGTAATGGTGTTACTTAGAAATCTTATAGATTTTATATATCGGTCTGATTTAAATGGACAGTATTGAACAAAATTGTATTGGTTATTCAATATGAATTTTGTCTTGCCCTTTTAGATACGACTTTAAATTTAATGTCAATTAAGACATATTTGTTTGGTGTCATCTGATTGAGGATTTGTCTATGGAACTTTTATGGAAATGTGTTCAGTGCTCTTTAACGGATTTATTTATTTATTATATGAAAAAGAAATATTAAAGGTATGCTTAACTCATGAATAAGGTAATAAGTTAAAAGGCATTGATTAAGTAAATCTTATTACAATTATTTTACTCGTATTTAAATGTAGTTTTAATGCTTGTAAAATATAAATTGATATTTTAATATAACAATTTTTTTTATAAAATCTGTTCTTTAATCTTAACTTTCAGCTAAGATGCACTTATTATTTCTTAAAGATAGTGAAGTAGTTCATTTTAAAATTATTTATTTAAGGTATATGTGAAATTAAATCGGACCTCTTGTGATTTTACCTTATAAACGAGGGAAGTGCATTTTCAGGTCGTTGCATTAAGCTTGCCTCCACTGCCATTTGCCACTTTATTGCTGGCCCGGCATTTTTGTTTTGGCAACTGCACGTGGCACGTATTGCACTTGACAGGAATATTTTTTGGGGAGGCGGGCAGCTTTTAACTGCGACTGGCATCAGCATTTAGCGTCGTCGTCCTCGCTGTCTCGTTTGCCTTTAATTACTTTTTCGATACGGACGCCCACCTGGGGGCCACGCCCCTTTGGCCTTTTGGCGCCCACTCGATCGGCCATTCAGTGTGAAGAATATGGCTCTTGCAACTTGTTGGCCAAACTCAGAGCCAGAAACATTACCAACATGTTGCCGGCTTTGTTGCCTCTGCTCTGCTCGGGAAATTTGATATCGCCCCATTTGTGGCCTTTGTTTTCGCTGCTTTCTTGGCTTGTTTAAGTTGACTCGTTGACCCATAAATAATTGGAGTAAACAATGCCAGCGCAACGAATTCGAGTATTCGAGTATTCGAGTGTGTGAGAAGTGGGGAGCAACATGGCCATAAATCAGTGGCCAGCTGCATTTAATCTGGCTTAAACACGCATTTTCTTGACAATTTCACAGTAAACTGTTCATTAAACATGTCCCGGAGCTTGTTTTCGTGGAATGAATGGAGCACTCCCCATAATTAATACCCTGTTTCCCTGCTCACCCACTAGCCGAGTATAAATCAAACAAATTCTATCGGTTAATCAAATCCAAATCCGAATGCAAAGTCAAAGGCATTGGCGGAGGCCAAAAGCGGTCAACCAAATGATCTCCGGGCCATCTCCATATGGATTTGTACGGCATCAAACGAGTTAATTAAGCGTAAGCGAAGCCAACAACCAGCCATCCATTTGGGAAATTCGTAAAAAAACGACGAAAAAGCTGGAACATTTATGCGACTTGAGTATATCCATTACATTTACTTTTGGCATCAATATTCCAGTAAATTTAAAAAGGCAAGAATATATCACACACAACAAATTGTAATAAAACTGAAGAATTTAATTAAAATATAAAAATATATTAGCCTTAAACATTTATTTTTTGCTTCAATATTCTAGTAATTTTAAAAAGGCTAGAAAATATCCCACACAAAAAATTGTAATAAAACTAGGAAGAATTTAATTAAAATATAAAAATATATTAGCTTTAAACAAAGCAATGTGATAAATGTCATGTGAATATTAAAATAATTCACTTTATTATCAACATTCTTTATATAAAAACTACATTTAAAAATATTTAAAAAATTACATTAAATATATATTATTCGGAAATGTTATGTTAAAATGTCAAAGTCTTTCATTTTATCATAGGGATATTAATTTTCTTATTATGTTGATGTATATTTCCTCGATTTTAAAAAGAACTGTTGGATACTTGTTAGTCATCTAAATTGTTCGGTAGCTTAAAATGTTTTTAGCTTTTAGTTGTCAAAGTCAACCGTTTTATTATACGGAAATAAATTTGTGTATATTTCTTTTCAGGATGGCAAATTGTTTTGTTCTTCTGGCTGCGTACTTGACATGAATTCAAGATTGCCCTGATCCCTGTCAAGTAGTGGGTGTGAAAAGCTGCAGGAGGCGAAGCAAAGGTTAAAGAACCTCGAGGAATGGTTTTCTGGACAGGCGAAAGTCAAGGGATTTGACCGTTGAATTCCCGCAGAGGGTGGCCCACGCACACACATACGAACCGGAGAAAGTCGGAAACACATGTCGGTAAGCCTATTTTGTCTCTTAACCTCATTCCTCTCGGTCTGGGCTTTCGCTTTCCTTCCGCTCCATCCCCTCCTTCCCCTCCTTCCCCTCCCTTCGCCACCGCTTCTTTTGCTGTTTCCGTTTCCGCCTGGCCAACTCCACATTTCGAGTCCGACTTCGATGGCAAATGCTAAGTAGTTTCGCTTTTAGTGCAAAATACTTGCCACCTCCTCCTCCTTTTTGGCCCACTTTCCTCCGTTGTTTTTCCTCTTGTTGCCACTTCACATTTCTTTGACTTTGATATTTGCCACACTTGAGGAGGGTGGAAAGGTTTTATTTTGTTTGGACTACAGCCAGAGTTGTGTGCAGGCAATTTCCTCAAGAGGATTCTCGTTGGGAAAGCCGGGCTCGCCGGCCATCACCCCAAATTGATGTATATACTCGCCTAATCAATGGAATTGCTCGCAATCCGCTTGCTGCGGGTAGTCGTCAAAGGAACATCAGTGTCCTATTCCTCCGAAAATCACTCGAAATGCAAAGTCAACGCAGGAGCTGTTTATATGCCGGTCCTCATCCTGGAATCTCGTGCCCATTCCCATTGTTTGCATCCACCCAAAGTCAATGTTGAACTTAAAGTTGCACTTGCAGCGGACACAATTGCTACACTGAAATTAAACGCTTTAACAGGTTACTTGGGTGATGAATGGGTGTTAGATTTAGTTCAATATGCCTGCAAATTGTACTATGTATATACATACATATCAATCGGATTAACACCTTCAGATATATAAGCTTTGGAAATAGTTTCTCTTATTAATATAAATTCACATTTTTTAAAGAATCAAACCACAATCAAATCGGACGTGGGTAAGAAAAGTTATGGGTTTAGAAGTGCAGGCTTTAGGTCACTTTTCGGCAAAGGCATTTTTCAATATTTTCGAAATTTCATGAAAATTAAGAAAAACCAACTCAAAATATAAACACAGATTTTTAGAGAATCAACCCACAATCAGTAGTAGTATGCCACATTGAAATCGGATGCCTGTAAGAAAAGGTCTTAAGGTCAGGTTTTTTTTTATTTTCTGCAAAGCCAATTTTCCTAAACATGGGAAAAAATGACAAAAAATCGAAAAAATGGTAGACCAAGATTTGAATACAAGTTTTTAGGAAATTAAACCGCAAGATTTTCGAGGTAGATCAATTCAAAATCGGATTTAAATTAGAAAAGTTATAGTCTGAGAGGTGCAGTTTTTGGACACTTTTCTGCAAAGTCCTTTTTCAAAAATTTGGCTTTGCTAAATTCATAAATTGAAACCACAAAATTTAATTAATTACTACAATGAGTATTCTTTAGTACCAATACGTCTGATGCTGAAACAGTAAGTTGCAGTCAATGTGGGTAATTAAGTCAAACAATTGCAGAGGAAAGTCATTGTCGACTCCTGCCACTCATTCACGCACCTCCCCACTCCCCCTTCTCCATTCCATACCATGTCTTCAGATCCAGTCAATTGGTTTGCCACCACAACATTAATGT